AGCCGCAGCTCCTAAGGGCCACATATCCTTACAATCATCCGCCAAGTGATGCAAACTACGAGTTGCGAGGTATGGGGCGGACGCGGTCCCATATGTTACGGTATTGAGTTGATAGGTTTGAAGCTCGGCATTTGGGGACGTTCGCCACAAAATATACTGGAATTTTCGATCCTTCTCCCCCACAAGCACCTGTCTATACATCTTAGTGACGTCAGCAGTGATGCCGAACCTATGCATGCGGAATCGTAGCAATTGCAGGTACAAATCATCCTGAATGGTCGGACCGACTAACAGAATATCGTTAAGTGACTTCTGCGATGTTGTACGGCAAGAAGCGTCAAATACGACTCTGAGCTTCGTCGAGGTGCTGCTTGGCTTGAGAACGAAATGGTGAGGAATGTAATAATGTGGTTCCTCTAAGTTTGGCTTCGGTACTATGGACATGTGACCAAGACTTTCATATTCCTGCATAAACGATAGATACTGCGAGCGAATCTCCGGTAAACGAGCAAGACGTCTCTCAATGGCATAAAATCGATTACGAGCTGTATCGACTGAATTTCCAAGACAGTTTGGGTCTTCTTGGAATGGCAAGCGCACGACAATTCGCCCACTGGCATCCTTCTGTGTTGTATCCCTATAGTGTTCCTCACAGCGACGATGAGTTGGGAGACTTTTAGCTCTTGAATCGCCGATTAAGTCAACCTTCCATAACTGCTGTAAGTTTTTGTCGATCGCCTCTTCTACAGTCACCAAGCACAACGATGGCTGTATATTCTGCTGGCGTTGGTACCTCCCAGCAACAACCCAACCGAACAGAGTCTTCTGCAACGTGGGAAGATTGGGACCAATGCGAATCTGGCCAACAGCAAGAGCTCCATAGAAGGCTTCGGTTCCCAATAACAAATCAATGCGCCTAGACCTAAAGAACGATTCATCTGCCAGTGGAGTATTGGCAGGTAGGTTCCAATTTGATATGTCGATCTCACTATCTGGCTGGTAGGCAATGTGAGAGGTTATTCCGAACTGGAGAGTTAGCTGATAGCCAGATGTGCGCGACTTAATAGAAGTCGTCGTACGAGCCTTAAGGTTAGTAAGGGACTCTCCGATACTGCGGATTCCGATGTGGTGCTTTTCACGACGAAGGCGAAGTTTTTGAGCGAAGTTCTCGGTTACAAAATTAACCTGCGAACACGAATCAAGCAATGCTCTACCAAGTTTGTATTCACCTGAGACATCCTTGACCAATACCATCGCTGTCGCTAACAGTATCTGATCCTCTGCTGCTACTTCCATGTGTGAATGAGACGCTGCTTGATGAGACTGACTAGCAGTAGGTGGCCAGGAGGGTAGCGATGATTGTGTTTCTTGTGCTGGAGTTGAGGTTTGTCCTTCTGACGATTGTGGTGTTTGTTGCGGCTGAGAGTGATGCAAGGTTGAATGATGATTCCGATTACAGGTACGGCAACGATGAGTCGATGAGCATTGTGCCACTCTATGGCCGTTTCCAAGACAATTGATGCAGAGACCGAGGCGTTTCACATTATCGAACCGTTGATTGCTGTTCATAGCCTTGAACTGCGAACAGTTCGTAATTTTATGACCAGAACTAGAACAAAGGGTACAAGACAAATTAGTAATGGCAAACGATGAGGTTGTATGGTGATTTGAATGACGATTGGACTTATTGGTTTCAGCCTTTCGTTGCGACGAAGTACCAGCCGAGGTTCCAGACGAATGGAGAAACTGACAGTGGCGTTCCAACAACTGTGTGCATTTTAGCCAGGTCGGCAGAGTCTTGTAGTCCAGCGATTCCTTCCACTTAATCCGAGTTGGCTGATCACACTTCTCCATAACTATATATATGAGCATAGCTTGAGCAATATTCTCAGGTTTGCCGATGGATTCCAAAGAGCTGAAGATAGCGGAGGCTTTATCCACTAAACTACGAAGCTGCTGACTGTTAGCCCTTTCCACAGGTTGTAGTGCAAACAATGATTCGATTCCTTCTAGAAAAATAAGAGTAGAATTGTCATAACGTTCTTTGAGTTTTTCAAGAGCCTTCGGATAGTTTTCGCTGGTAACCTGGAATGCCTGAACTGTGTCTAACGCCGGCCCCTTTAGGCAGGTCAGCAAATAATTAAACCTTTCTATGTTAGACAGTCCAGACTCACGCACAATAAGTTGATCGAACGAATTTATGAAATTCTTATAATTCGCATAAGTGCCGTCAAACGTAGGCAGCGATAACCTCGGCAACGATGACCGCACTGGCGGCGGGTGGTGATCCGGCGTCAATATGCTAGCGTTCAGATCTCCTCCTAGTTTTTCCTTTATGGATAGCTTTATTGCTATGTAGGTATCTTCCAAGTCCGCACGTCCTTCATCGTTCGGACTAAGATCCTCGATGTCAGATTGAACGTTTAGAATTTTCTTGAAACACGTTTCCAAGATGCTCAAGCGATAGCGAAGCTCATCATTACAAATTGGGTTTTCCGATTTGCCTTCCACCACAGATTTGATACGAGAAATATTGCGCTTAATATTGCTCCGTTGGCGTTTCAAATCTTCGAGCGTCGTCATTTTGTTGTGTAGTGTAAATTACACGCACACAGAACTAGAGATTCCAAATTCAAATGCACGCAACAACAGCAAGCAGGCACCAGATCAGCAGCAGCAAGAGAACAAATTTAGAAGCGAGCGACGGCGACAAAAAAAAAAGGGTTGAGCGCAATTCCAGTCCAGAGAGTGAGCAAAAATTCCAACGACGGCAACGAAAGCGAAAGTGAAGCAGAGAAATTCGAAGAGATAGATGACTGCGTTGACCGATGGACCACAGCAGGTAGCAGCAATGCAAACGAAACGAGAGCGCAAGCGCCGTTAAATGCGATGTGGGTGATAAGCGAATGATAGAATTAAGCGAGAATGGCGAGAGCACAGTGAGAGGTTGATGAACCCGCGATCGATCAGTTCGCTTCTGATATGCTTTTCAGAAATTTCGACGGCGACTGCGAGACGAAACGAAAGTGTAGTTGTTGCACTTGCAAATTATGTACCGACGAAGCTGTTTGATGGAATATACATAAAATGCGAGTAATTTAATTGTTCACAGAATTAACACACGTGCCCCACGTTGGGCGCCAAAATGTTTGATCGAGGAGCGTTGTCCTCAATATCGTTGTTCAAGGATGGGGGTGTGTCAATCTCCAAGTGAGCTAATTAACTCGATGCGAAGAAATCTGCTGGAATCCAATAATAATCCGCAAGGTCGAGGGGGTTCAGTTGAGTGCTAGCCAATGACTATTTATTTGGTTTCTAAGTGCATGAGCACTGAGCATAAGCGGGCTTCTGTGTGGTGAATTCAATTACAAATTTAGTGCAAGAGCGTAACAAAGAGAGTAAAACATGAGCGTAAGGTACCACAAGGCGAGGGTCATTTAAGTGATTATTATATTATATTATGGCCTTAAAAGTTTGATCGAACAGAGGGAAAACTATGTAGCGGATGCGCTATCCCGCAAAGAAATATCCGATTTGAATAGTTTAACTACCAAGGCAGCCAAATACTCAATGTAACAACATGGTCGGAGGCCGAAAAATTAAAAATAAAAACACTCCTAATAAGAGTATCAAAAAAAGTCTTAAGGTGCCAAAAATATACGAAGCGCTATATAAAAAAGAAGTAAACCGTGTGTTTGTAGTAGGGCGCTTCCTAGTGCTGCAGATAAGCCCTCAGAAGATCCAAAGTGTCCCGCAATGAATAGGCACAGTATGATGGTTAACAAATCGGTTTATTGGGCACTCGAAACGGCGCGGTTGTTTGATTATATGTGTGTATGTATGTGGGTGTGAATATAAACGATTCTATGTATCGACGCGTACCGGAATGTACGGGGGTGGGTAGAATACTAAACTCCCGCTTAGTGAGCTGGCTGCCCGCCAACTCGCTAGCGCCAGGCAAGAGAGAGCGCGCTCCGGCTGTTAACAACAGCCCCCTGCCAACTCGCTGCTGCTACTCTCAACATCCTCCCCCCCCTTGCAGGACTGCAATGGAGAACCTCTATGGCTGAGTGCACGCCCCAGAAACAATCCATCCGAATACGGTGCTTTGGGCCACGGGAAAACCTTCTCCTAGGGCGAGGAACCCGGGTTGGATCACCTTCTGGTAAACGTCGGCGCCGAGCACGAGGGAGACAGTGGATGGGCGATGGAAGCGATCGTCGGCGAGGCGAATGTCGTCGAAACGGGTTCGCACCGCCTCGGTCACGGGGCGTAGTGGCGTGCGGACGCGCAGGCGGGGCTCGACCTTCAGCACTGCGTCCACTTGGAAGTTTCCATTCTTGGCGCGGACAGTCGCAGTGCACACCTTTTCGGTGCCAACCCGCGTGGAGGGCAGTTTGAAGGCGATGGCCAATGACTCGTCGATGCTGCTCACTGGGGTACTATAAGAGCCACTGTCTCAAAAGTTCTGGAACCCGTATCTAAGACCACCAGGCCGTCGGGAGAACGTTGATGCTCCGGTTCTGGAGGAGCGTAGCCACGGATGGTGCCGGATCTTCCACGACAGGGCGGCTTTCGGGGAGACGACGGCGTCGTTCAACGCTAGAGGCTGGAGCCGCCGGAGGGGCTGGTCCGGAAGCGCGGCCTGAACGCTGGAACGCACGGTTGTGGAGTAGCGTGTGGTGGTTCCCACCGCACACTTTGCAGCCCTTGGTACTGCGGCAGTCTCTGCCGGAGTGCCGATGAGCCAGGCAATTAGCGCAGTACTTGTTAATCAAGACGGCTCGGAGTCTCTTCTCGGCGTCCAGGCGAAGAAAGCGTCGGCAGGCACGGAGCGGATGGCTTCCGGAGCAGACTCGGCAACGGTAGGAGTTACTACCTCGAGAACGTCTACTCTCCGAAGTGCGGGTGTTACGAGACCGTGGAGCCATCTCTAAATACGGAAACTATGGCGAAAGAAGAAGACAAAGAATAGGAGACGGGTTAGTAACGGGATAGGAAGCGGGGACGCGCACGCTCTTCGTTAATGTTGGATGGAGCGAGGAGGTTCTACGGACAGAAGAACGACCTTTGCGACGGGCCTTTTGAGGACCCCCCGTGCAGTGAGGATGTCGACTACACGGACCCGATCGTTGGCGCCGGGGTACACGGAATGGATTCGTCCGAGACGCCATTCATTAGACGGCAAGTTGTCTTCCTTGACGACGACCATATCACCAATCTGCAGATGGGGCGTGGGCGTTTGCCATTTGGTCCGCTTGTGGAGTTCCTTGAGGTATTCCTCTTTCCACCTACGACAGAACTGTTGGTTGAGTGCCTTCAGATGTTGCCATCGATTTATGATCGAGGTGAGGTCACCCTTAACTTCTGGCTCCGCCGTCGCCATTAAGGGTCTCCCCGTAAGGAAATGCCCGGGAGTTAGGGCCAGTAACTCCGTCGGATCTTCGGACATAGGCGAGAGCGGTCTGGAATTAAGGCACGCCTCTATTTTCGAGAGAAGCGTGGAGAGCACCTCGAAGGTGTATCTACGAGTGGACGTGGCCTTATAGAACAGGGTTTTGAAGCTCTTCACTCCGGCTTCCCAAAGTCCCCCCATATGTGGGGCCCCTGGTGGGATGAATTTCCACGAGACCCTTTGGTGACTATACGCATCAATCACAGAGTCCTTAAATGCTTCTAGGAAATCACGGGCCAGTACTGTGGCTGCGCCCACAAAGGTCTTGCCGTTATCGGAGTGGATACTCTGTGGACAGCCTCGTCTCGCGACGAACCGCGCGAAGGCAGCGAGAAATTTCTCGGTGGTGAGGTCGGACGTAGGCTCCAAATGAATAGCCTTCGTGGAGAAACACACGAACACGCACACATACCCCTTGGTAATAAGGCACGCCCGCCCTGTGTAGTTGCGGATTTCGAAGGGACCGGCGTAGTCAATTCCGGTGTGCGTGAAAGGTCGGGAGAATGAAGTTCGCTCCCTGGGGAGATCCCCCATCAGTTGAGTTTGCAACTTCCTTTTGTGGATAAGGCACACTTTGCAAGAGTTCACGACACCCTTCATCAGCTTCTGAATCCGTGGAATCCAATACTTGGATCGGATAAGTCGCACCATCAATTGGCTGCCCCCGTGAAGAGTGATCCGGTGTGTGAACTGCGTGAGGAGTCGCGACAAACGACAGTTATACGGAAGAATTATGGGATGTCGCTCGTCATACTTCAGCCCTTGCGCCGTAGATACACGGCCGCAGGAGCGTATGACCCCATGTTGATCCATAAACGGATTCAAATTCAGGATAGAACTTGATCGAGGCACTGGACGCTTCTCACGTAAGGAGTGATACTCTTGAGAATATTCTCGGCGCTGAGTTTCTAGGATAAGAGTTCGTTCAGCCTGGTTAATTTCTCCGCTTGTAGGATGGATCTCCTGTAGTACGGTACGGTAGTTTTCGGCAGCGCTGTAGGAAACGCAGGACGTACGCGCGGACTCGTAGAGCTTTTTCAAGCGTGGAGAATCGCTCGAGGAAGTCTTCGGGTGGGCTGGTTGTGAAATGGACTTTCACAGCCCGCTGCTCGAGGTCTATGACGGGGGTTTCCTGATCTTGGAGCGGCCATTGAGAGCGTGGTTGCTGTAACCACGAGGGCCCATGCCACCAGAGATGGTTGTCAACCAGATCCTGTAGAGGAACCCCCCGACTGGCTAAATCCGCCGGGTTGTGCTCGGAGCGAACATGAGACCACTTTTGGGTCTCGGTGGTTTGAGCGATTTTCGTCACTCGATTGGCCACGAAGGTGGTCCAATGGCATGCAGGCTTGTTCAACCAGGCGAGAACGATTGTGGAATCTGTCCAGTAGTAACAGGTAGACCCTGTCGTCGGCATACTTGGCAGGATAGCCGTCGCCATTTCGGCTAGAAGCACGGCCCCGCACAGCTCTAACCGGGGAAGCGATACGGTTTTTACGGGCGCAACTCGTGTCTTCGCTGCCAGTAGATGCACGTCGATACGCTGGCCCATCTCAACGCGAACATAAATCGCGGCGCCGTAAGCCTTTTCTGAGGCATCACAGAACCCATGGTGCTCCACCTTAACGGATGGCTGGGAACCAATCCACCTTGGGATACGGATCTTGGTGAGACAGGAGTAGCTACGCAGGAAGGCTTGCCAGTATTGACACAGTTCGTTCGGAAGGTTCTCGTCCCACTCCAGTTCCTGCAACCAAATTTCCTGCATGAAGATCTTGGAGCGGACGATGAACGGTGCCAGCCACCCTGCAGGATCAAACAGTTTCGCTATCTGCGAGAGGACTTCTCGCTTGCTGTAGGATGACTCAAGCGAGAGCACCGGAGGAACAAAGAAGAACTCGTGCTCTGTGCGTCAATCTACAGGAAATCAGTGTGAAGGAGGTGGTCACTCGGAATCTCGGCCAATACGTCCTTGTGGTTGGCTGTCCATTTTCGTAGCGGAAAACCTGCCGAACTGAGGGCGGCCTGTAATTCGCGGATGGCTAGCTGAGCCTCCTGTGTGGAGTCAGCGCCGGCGAGGACATCGTCGACGTACATAAAGTGCCGAATGATATGACTAGCCTGGGGAATTGCGATTGGACGTCGTTGGAAAGCTGTTGAAGGACTCGAATGGCGAGAAAGGGGGCGCAGTTGACGCCAAAGGTGACGGTTTTCAATTCGTAATCACGAATTTCCCCCTCTGCGTTTCGAAACAATATTCTCTGGAAACGAGTGTGTTCTGGATCCACCCAAATCTGACGGTACATTTTGGTGATGTCGGCGTTGAACGCATATCGGAAGTAGCGCCATTTCAGAATCTGAAGGGTCAAATCGGATTGTAGGACCGGGCCCGCGTGAAGGAGGTCATTCAAGCTCGTTCCGTTCGCGGATGGGCTGGATGCGTTAAACACCACACGAAGCTTCGTTGTAGTGCTATCGGGTTTGATTACTGCGTGGTGAGGGAGATAGTAGTTGTTGGAGTCGTGGCTCGGAGGGACCTCTGTCATGTGGCCCAGATCTGAGTATTCTTGGATTACGGAAACGTACTGTTCGTGCAACGGCGAATCTCTCTTCAGCCGATTCTCGTTCCTTAAGAACTGGGCTAGTGCGATGGACCTTGAATACCCTAGGCCAGACCCGAGATGACCCGGGTCGCGGAATGGTAGGGTTACCATGTATTTTCCGCTTGTTGCCCTCGTGGTGGTTTGTAGGAAGTTGCTTTAGCAATAGGAATCGGACTCTCCTACTAACTTGGTTGGTAGATCCTCCACCTCCCAAAACTTTGTGAGGAGCTTGTCTAATGGAGCATCGAGGACGTTGGACACTTGTGTGGAGAAAGATGCGATTCGGTTCGGGGGGGGGCACTGGGCACCGGACCAGTAAGCAACCACCCGAAAATCGTTTCCTGCCCAAGGAGAGAGCCACAAATGTCGGTCTGTGAACCGCTCAGAAGGATGGAGGGAAGGATATCGGCTCCGATCAGGACATCTATCTGCGAGCTCTCATAGAAGGTGGGATCAGCTAATGGCAGGTTCGGCAAATCTCGCAACGCACTTAGCAGAATTGGATATGAAGGGAGATTGCCTGCTAGTTCCGGCAATACGTAAGCCGCGGCTTTCAACTGCAAGCCCGGCTTAGTCGGGGAACGAATGGAAAAGTGGCAGAGCTTCTTGGACTGAGCTGCTACCGACTGACTCAGGCCTGAGACTTGTGCCTGAATAAGGCGGAATGGTAGTTTGATGATGTTAAAAAGCCGTTCCGTAATGAACGTAGCCTCGGAGCCCGAGTCGATTAGAGCGCGGGCGCGGAAATTTGTCCCCAGGTGGCAAATGTTAATTATTGCCGTGCCTAGAAGAACGGGCCTGGTGCCCGAGGTGAAATAATTTTGCACGGTGGGCTGAGCGTCGGACGGGCTGTGGGTCACTTTAGGGGCGCCTGGAATGCTTAAATTCTTGGTAATTGCGAAATTTGCATAAGCAGCGGAGTGCTGGTACCGCGTATCGGACGAACGCGTTCGTGCCTACATATACTAAGTGTGGTATGTAGATGTGGAGTAATCGGTATTTTTTAGGTATTTTTCCCACCGGGATTAATGAGGTTTATTATTTATGAGAAGTATTGAGTGAAAATAAGATTGTAAGAATATACAATTCGATATACACAATAAACAATAAATACAATAAACAACGCCAATAAATTACTTCGGATGAGTGTTTTATTGGGGGCGGGGTATGTGTGTGCGAATCAGGCACAACATATGCACATGCATATATACATACGTGTCGGACGCCGGTATTGTGGCTGTGTAGCGGATAATTGCTAATAGCTAACGGAAAGTGTTAGTGAGATCGGACAATATGTACATAAGAATATATGTACATATGGATAGTGGACACTCGGACGTGAATAGTGCGGAACGCCAATCGCGGAAGGAATCGATTGGCGGCACAATATGAGCGTACTTATCTGCAGTCTCTCTTGGAATCCACCGATGCTGCTGGGACAATCTCGATTCAGCAAGAATCCGGCTCGAAGGACCAATGTTTGTAGTAGGGCGCTTCCTAGTGCTGCAGATAAGCCCTCAGAAGATCCAAAGTGTCCCGCAATGAATAGGCACAGTATGATGGTTAACAAATCGGTTTATTGGGCACTCGAAACGGCGCGGTTGTTTGATTATATGTGTGTATGTATGTGGGTGTGAATATAAACGATTCTATGTATCGACGCGTACCGGAACGTACGGGGGTGGGTAGAATACTAAACTCCAGCTTAGTGAGCTGGCTGCCCGCCAACTCGCTAGCGCCAGGCAAGAGAGAGCGCGCTCCGGCTGTTAACAACAGCCCCCTGCCAACTCGCTGCTGCTACTCTCAACACCGTGTAACGAACCATGGGCCCCATGGATCCCATCGATGCAAGACACGCTACTCCCAGGTGAAAATATCAACACCAAAGAAATTGAAGGCGCAGCACAGTTCGAAAGACAGACAGAGGTCGACCGAAGAAAGAAAGAAAAACCAAAAACCCAGAACACGCGCGGCCAATCGACGGAAAGGCGCTGACCAAGATTATATATTCAACCCCCACCACAGCAAAACCTAAGTAACCAAACGCTCTCAAATGACGCGTTCAAC